TATTAATTGAAATCCAATGGAAATTTGTTTTGTTTCGGTAGTAGTGTAATTCTTTTCATTTATATATTTATGCAACGGCTTTCTCTTAATATTTGATGGTAACTTATAATAAAGTGAGATATAACTGTTTAGAAAAAAAATCATCTGTTTACTGTTTATTGTGTTCTAACATAGCATCCTGTTTCCTTGAATGAAAAACAAGGCCATTTCTGCTACATCCCGTGCGTTCAGCCACTTGACATCTAAATCCTAAATATATAGAAAGCTATTGAGATTATTGTGTGTTCGGCGTCACATTGTCTATCTATAAAATTGTTGGTGCTGCAAGTTAAGCATGTAATCTCTGCAACCTTTACATTTTCTTTGATGAAGGTGACAAAAATGTATCTTCTGTCATAAAAGATGTAGCTCTTTCAGCGAAATGTTTATTGCAATTACACGTATAGTGATATAATGAAAAATTTAAATTACATTTTGGACTTGTCACAAGTGTAAAGTATTAGAAACATTCTACGTTATGTTCGAAATTGGTGTTAAGTATTCTCACAATTTCCTTAACTTCATTTTATTTCAAAGTCAAAGAAAAATGTTCTGAATGTTCATAGGGAACATGAAAGTCTAAAGATAAAAAGGGTGAATATAAATTGAAACAAGCATCTGACATTAATCTATAAACGATAAAACAGTATTCTAAATGCTAGTATTAGAAACACATATAAAATATAAAATATAGATACACATTCTTTAAGTATAGAAATGTTAAACTGAAGCAATATAAAACGTTTACTTCCACGACAGTTAACACAGTTTACTTTTCACAATGACGAGCATCTTGTCCTTATACTAGGAGGCTTGTCAAAAGAAACGATCAATTTCACAGATATAATCATGTTTATTGGACGGAGGGTCGTCAATGCAGTCAAAGTTATATCCGCTGTGGGATCTCAGATGAATCTCATTAGCGTTATTACTTTCACGAATAGGACATATATTTGGAATCGGAGTTCCATCGTGGAATTTCCATTGGTTGTTTTCCTCTACTCCCTGAACCCATATTTGAATTTCATTTGTAGCTGTAAATGGTCCTAAAAAGGAAAAAAAAAATATGAGCTTAAAGGAATACAACTTTTAATACTTAAATTTATCCTTAGGTCATATGTTGGCGGACGTTTTCCATACTTATTTCTTGGCCATGTGTTATAAAAACAGCGAATTGTCGTTGAATTTTCCGGTCAAGGCAAAGAGCACACGGCGAGTGGGACCGGTTCACAGTGGATGCTTACTCCTTTATCGTACCTGATCTAAAGTTCCATTTGTTGTTTCGCATGTCCTAGTTTGCAATTCTCCAGTCAATCTTTTATTGGTTAATAGACTTTTGAGCTTGAATACTGTGCTTTATATACATAAATTTTATTCAAATAAAACTTTAAGAATTGAAAGATTTCTAAGATAATTTAAAGCATTTATTTTGATTATGTATTTACATTATTGTAAAATGCATCGATTTCTTGATTTCAATTCTGATATAGATCGCATGGAAAAAAAATAAGTTTTTATTTTTATTTTATTATTTTTTTTTTATTTTGTTTTATTATACCCTTCACTTTTCTTGTTACTGGCTTTTGAGGTGAAAAAACATGCCGTGTCAAGACCCTGTTACTTTAACATTTCAAATTGATTTATTACTCTTACTTAATTACCAGCTTAATGATAGACCCAGAAAGATTATAATGCAGCTTTTTAATAAAAACAACATAAAAAAAAACATTTAAACTTCCCTTTTCTTTCGTATAAGGACCATTATTACCACAGAAATCAAACGACCAAATTTATACCCCTCTGCTTCAAATTTCAACAATTTTCATTTTTTTTTCTATTGTTGCCAGCTATCCGAATCGCTCAAAATAGATCAAATGATCAAGGATAAAAAGTTCAAAGACTGGATGTTTCCATTCTAAGTAAAATATAAACCTGCGTTTTCTTAAAACTGGAAACAATAATTCTGACGTCACAATAGTCTTTATGAACTGGATATTTCTAAAAACAGATACTGCAGCTGCGATTCATAACTGTGACGCAATAATGCAAATGACATAACCATGCCTTATATAAGGATGTACTGAGTATTAGAAACATAGATTTTAAGACATTTTTTTAGCTTATAAAACAATAATTAAACAATTGTAGCCTTGTAGACAAGGGACCAGAGAGAATACTCATGGACAAAATTCGTCACTTTTTGCTTGTTTCCATAGCAACGGTAGCCATTTTGATACTGAATGACCAAACAACACAACTACAACCAGTGATCGATCTTTAAGGAATGTTTCAGAGAGATTCTCCCAACCATCTCCGAGAAACAGCCTGTAGAAGAAAAACATGCGTACAATTGCAATATGTCGCCCGACTTCGTTCGGAGCGGCATAATGATAATTTGAAGTATCATGCGTTCGTCGCTTTTCATAAATGAAAAATATCTTATATGAAGAAAGTTCTGGTACTGTAAATAGAAAGATCAATACATGTACTTTTTGTCTCACAGTAAAATTAATAAATATGAGGTATATATGAAAACAATATTTATATTAATCTAATTTACATCGCAGTTGCTTGGGAACGGAACCCTCCATCCTGAATCCTTGACTTTTTTCAGATAAAATTTTTCTGTGACATATTCATAAAGTATTACAACTAAAAAATCCTACATTTAAGCAAAAGCTAGCAGTTTTTGAAAGTTAATAGTCTCTGATTCTACATGTATGATCGAACAAGGTTAGCAACTTCCTTGGAAATGTTCGACACCTTCTAAAAATTAAGATGAAAGCTTAAAATGAGATGAATTGCGTTCACCATTACATACCTTTCCAGTGAATTTTGATTTTATATTTTCAGTTTTACCTAAAAGTTCTTTGAATATCTCGTATTTTTTCTCTGAGTCAATTTTGAAGAGGTCGCCACCATCTTCATTACATCTGGAAACAGCATCATCGTACATCGTAGGTGTAGGCACGTATTTCACACAGATTTCATAAAAAGTATTCATAATCGTGGTATATCCAGAAGGACAGGGAACTGTTAAACAACAAGAACAAAACAACATACTTTTAGATTAAAAAAAAATGTATATTCATCACATGACATTCCGTCAGTACTACATGTAAAAACTCTTTTCTTTATGATTTTAAGTACAGTTAATTTCTAAACATTTTTGTTTTGATTCCATCTCAGGTGAATTTAGATGCTCTGTCAGTATCAGTGAAGATCTTGTTTTAATAAAAGACTACGGTAAGGTAGAATTCTTTTTTCTTTTTATTTTTTGCGAGACTTATCGCGATTCTTCAACTTCAAATCGCGATAATAATAATAAAGGCTAGTAATTTTATTTCGCTTGTGGTGCTTCTCGGGTAATTACGCGGTAAATTATTCCACTTGTATATCTAGGAATCTACAGATGATATATAAAACAAATATGAAGGCTATCTAAGGCCTCTCATGACTGACTTGTGAAAAGTGGCTCGATTGAAGATTTTTCTCTAAAAAAAAAAATAATGTTATATTTATCTATTCCGGGAAATATGATTTTGTACATTTAGCAATAATTTAAAGATTTTCTTAAAAAAGAATGAATAAATAAATAAATATCTCACATATCGACCCAATTGTTTTATCCTGGGTCGGGAGAGGGAGAAGAGTATTTAAAAGTTGTCTACGTAAATGTATAATAAATTCTAGTGTTGACTAAATATATCTCATTTTGCTCTTGGAAATGATTACTATTTTTTAATTAGTTTGAACTTTATTGAAAAATCTTACTTGGCAAAAATGTCTTCCATTCTGATCCAGTTAAAGGAGTTCCAGGCACATCCTTACAGCACAAACATTCATGATTTAACAAGTCTTGGCTGAACAAGTAAAAGTTTTCCATCTTCTGTAGGCAAGTTGCAAAACATTTGCCAAGAGATTGAATATTATTATACCGAACACAAGAAGAGGTTGGGTACCAATAATTTATCCTTACACCATAACTACTCCTGAAATTGCCCTGAATTGATGCTTTGCAAATCATTGTTATAGTAATTAAACGAAGCAAACGTGAAATTGGGGACATCTCTAAGAATACTCTTCCTCTGTTTCTTATGATTTGACTGAACAAAACCTCCTCTTCCTTCTTATAAATTTCATTCATCCGTACATCATTCAAGGGTATCTATAAATTATATTTCAGGCAAGAGTGACATAATATTATAAGAGAAATGAAGTAGAAAGAAAATAAATTCATCCTCTTGTTTGTGATGCTTTTAAGAAAACAAACTAATGCATTATCTTTCAAATGAAAACAGAGTATAGGCAGTGCATTTATAGAAACACTTTGCAACATAATGAGCAGTTCTACAATGTACGGTTATGAATAGCGCGATAATATATCAATTTATTGTTTGAACTAGAATAAAATCTATATATAAAATAGAAAATTTTAATAGGAATAATCGGTCAAAAATCTTGAGGGAAGGAATGTAAATTTGCTGATCTGAGTGATATACAATTGATGTCCTGAAAATGTAAATTGTTCGATACTGAACAACTTTTTGCATTTTTTCTTGCACTGAATAGATACTTTCTTGTTACAAATATATGCAGAAATATGAGCTTTATATTGAGTTTTGGCTCTTTAAACTACTTCACGGACATCGATCATTATTTATAATTCACAATTTTGTGTATTTTATTCATAATGGTTCTTTTAACTACCTGGCATTTCAGGGACAACAATATTCATAATTCTCATTTCTTTTTTATTATTTTCAGTTGTTGCTCTTTAAACGATTGCAGGCCTCGGACAAAAATATTTTTAATTCACAAGTTTGTTCATTATTTTGAGTTCTTTATATAAAATTGTTAATTGAAGCCTTAATGTTTTTGCTAATATGTGGGAATTTTTTTTAAATCAAAACTATGATTGCCTGTTTGAGTACATGTACAAAGCTTTTTTACTTCCCGTTCGATATTCCCTTTTAATAAAGTGAGAACTCTCATATTTTGATAAGTATCATACTTCAAACTTTGATGACTTTTAAGCTGTTAGGGAAAAAAACCTGGCAACGCCTCTTTTTCAAAAACTATGACGAATACAAACATTAATTCATTTTAAACTTGAAAAAAGCGATTTATGAAAGAATTTTTGAAATCAACCAAAGATAAATTAGTTTATATTCATATTTATGTTACTTTTGCTGCTATTACATATTCTGTAAGTACATATTTGTGATTTTGAAAATCACTACAAATGCACCAGGCATTATCAATGACACACGGGGAAATTCCATCGATATTTAGTCGTTGCAACTTTTGAGGAAAAGAATGTAAATTTGCTGAAAGAAGTGACTGATAATATTTTTTTTTTTATATATATATATATTTAAAACAGTTTGAGGTATGATGTTGTTTATATCATATATCTAATACAAAAGAAGAATAAATATTTACATATTTTTCGATCAAACATTTTATATAATTTTGTCGTAATAAAATTAGAGTTATCTTTCTGTATTCTGATGTTCCTGAAGAGTGAATAATCATATACTGAGTAAGATTTGCCTGGTCTGGTAATTAAAAAAAATAGTCCTAGGCCTGGTGTTTTGAAACATTTTATTTTGAAGCACATTAGATAACAAAAATTTTAAAGGTCCCAAACTAAAAAATATTCTAATTTCACTTTGCATCGAACCGGGGTTACAACTTCTTAGAATTGCGAATCTTTACAACTTGTATGTCTCAGATTTATAGTAACTGTTTGTTCTGTTTAAAATATACCTGTACATTAAATGAAAAAATGATACATTAAATAACTTTGTATTGTCTTACTGTCAAAGCAAATAAACGCCCATTTTTTTTTTCAAAACATGATTTGTTGCTGTCCTAGAAGTGAACAAGAGTTACCTCTCTTACGTCACAAATGCTATCATTTGGCACACCTTTTAAAAACAATTTTCTTAAAATTCTAGTATAGATAAATATTTTTCAAAGATTCTGGTTAAATTTTTCGATATATAATATTTGTCTTTAATACTTATATATGAATTTTACTATTAATTCACACAAATTAAACAAAAATAATGATTTGAAATTTGAAGGCGAGACAGCCCCTTGACTAATGGCCGAGACAGAGATATCTCACCTCTGAGGACGAGACAGCCCTACTTTCCAGGCGCTGTCTCGCCGAGTCCAAAACGCCGAGTCCAAAAGGGCTGATACACTACTAGGTATATGATATAAAGGGTGAAATAAAGGTGTGCTTATACAGGGTGCGTAATACAGGACGTGTGCCTGTGTTCATATCAAGGATGCAAAAATCCTGTATTATAAAACATATATATATAATGAACAATATTATCTCCTAAATTAAAATACGGGGAAAACATATATTTATATATTATAACTTCACCATTAGTGTAGTAGAGGTACTTTTATTTGAAATAATAAAAGTTGGAGTGATTTTAAATGATATAAAATAATAAATATTAAATATAAATTAAATGAACTAAATAAACTGTTAAATAAGTTATAAATGATAGTTTTCCGTTAAAGTTTATTCTTTTCCTTCTTTACTAACTTGATTATTTAGTGCTATAGTTATACACCCCTTTGGATCCACACCTGTACATACACTTTTACATGACCACATACATATCTATTGGTCAGTTTTTGAAATACTTAATTTTCATTGGTTGTCTTTGTGGGGTAGTGAGTTTTATTCAGTTTAGACTCTAGAAATTCTGATTTTGAATGGAGAAGACCTAATTTATTTTGTTTGCTGACTGTAATTTATTTCCTAAGACCTTAAGACCTAAGACAATTCCTGAAATGTAAGTTTTTACTTGTTTTATGCTACAAGATATGTTTTCTATAATATTATGTTAAAAATGTGGAAAACAATATATTTTACTTTTAATCGTTACATTTTGAGTTATCTGTCTATTTATTCAGATATTGATAAATCTGATGAAGTTTTCCTGAAGATCAATTTGTATATAAACCTGGAAATATTTTGAAGTGAAGATTTTGGTCATCAAGATAATCTAAATAATTATTTATTTTGAGAAAGGTATTTGTATAGAGCAAGTCCTTATTATTACATTTATTGTACATAGGTATCTTCATATATAACGAATATGTAAACTTGCATTGGAGACAGTTCAGTTCCATAGATTGGTATGTCTGTCTGTATATATATTTTTATGATTTGTAAAGAAATATCAAAGAAAGATAACTCTTCACAAGATTGTAAAGCGTAATTATGTTATAAGAATTAACTCCCTTACATCATGTGTAAAGTATATTTCTCAGGTATTATCATAGTGAATGATGATAATTTATTGTAAAAGGGAAGACAGATAATTTGTTATATTTTACAATTGGAATATTTAATTGAAATACTATTTTGTACATATTTTTATGACGCAATTTGTATATTGCAGGACTTCCATATACATTTCCATTAAATCCATTATAAATTCCATATCATCGATTTTCAACTTAGAGATGTCATAATTAAAAGTGTAAACTACAACAGTATTGTGTTTTCCATCATACTGCCGGGAATACCCGCTACAAAATGGCGCCCAACGGAAAATCCACTTCATAGGCCTAGAATCGAGCAACCAGACCGTTGGTGATTCCGGAAATATCCGATCCAAGCGCTTTAGTGACCCTGATCAGTGACTGTGAGTAATTTATTCGAATTTTCTCTATTGACATTTCACGTGAGGACCACCTGCGCAGACCATCAACAACGCTGGATTAAAGTAAATTTATTTGATTAACATTATATTTAGTATTTGTTTATTTATTTATTTATTCAACAGGATACTATAGTAAGTGTATTATTGACTTTTGATTGAATTTTACCTGGCCAGATAAGAGGTGTTAGAATTTTGAAAACACGTGTTGTTGTTGAAAACAGAGACAGAAATTTTTCGGTCGTCTTACATTGTTTATTATTTCCTTATTTATTTATTATTGTAGCAATTTCTTAATACAAATATTTAAAGATATTTTGACTTGGACTTAAGAAAACAGACTGACATAGTTACAGTTAGCCAGTAAGTTGGTTGTATCGGATAGTGTTGTAGAGGAAATTCGGGTTGTTATTGTTTAGATCAGTTCAGTTGAGTCAAGGTAAGCTTATACAGTGAATTTGAGAATTTGAATTTGTCAAGAGTTTATAGTGAATACAGAACTACATTTTATTTACATTGAAACCCATACAGTATAATATAGCACAAGAATACAGAGTCTGATCAAAAGTTTGTATGTCATGGTGTCTACTTAGTTTAGTGTAAAGCTACTAACATCTTAGCTTCTGATCTTTTCAGCTAAAAATATAAACATGGTTTAAAAAAAAAAAAAAAATTGCGTAACATTTTGTGTATTTATTGCAAAATGTAAACTGTTTAAAACAATTTAAACATGTAAATTGTTTAAAACAACTTAAAACAAGCAAGACTTTATTTACAGGCATTCAACGCGTTGGTTTATTTGTTACATCCGTCAATTAGATGCGCGTCGGTTTCTTTGAGTTGTCATTTTTTTTTTACTTGCTTGCGATACTATTGCAATTTTTGCATTGATTAGTCAAGTACTTGCATGATTTGGTATTTATTATTTATAACCATCATGGCAGAGTTCTCAGAGACGGAAAAGTCTGATTTGTTGTCTACATTTCAGGCATTAGAGATCAAACCAGAAGGTAGTACCCCTGAAGAATTTAAGAATTGGGTTTTGAAATATGCTGATTCCTTAAAGAAGGAATTACCCATGCCGTCTGATCATGCTAGTCCTGGTATTGACCATGTCCTTACCCCTTCTACTCCTAACCCATTTCTCGGTGACCATGTCCCTCCCAGTCCTAACCCATTTGCCCATGACCTTACCCCTCCCAAGCCTAGTCTATTTGCCCATGACCTTACCCTGCCCACTTCCTCGACCCACATTCCTTTGAGTGGTGTCCCTAAAATATCAGGGTTTGCAGGTGACAAAAAAGGTGATATTTTATATGACCAATGGAGATACGAGGTAAAGTGTTTGCAAGCAAATGATTTTTCAGAGAATATTATTT